GAAGAATATAATGCAAAATAAATAAACTTTCTGAAACAAAATTTGAAAACGGGGGAAAGTTATTTTCGTTTATCTCAGAAACATAAAATGTGGACTTGCCTCTTTCTTGCAGCAATGTCTTCAATTATCTTTGAGAATGACTACAAAAGCGCGCTATTAAACAATTATTGGAGAGATTTTGCAGCCTGTGACCATCTTTTCCGTAAGGCTATCGTATCCGGGTTTACCCTCCTAATCTAATTCCTTGCAATATTACAGTAATATTATAGTGATATATTACAGTATTATTACGTGATACATCACAGTAATATTATTGTGATTATCACAGTATAATTACTACGATTATCTCGGTAATATTTCATTGGGCGGACATTTTAATATTAGTATGATATATATATCAGTAATGTTACAGCAATATTTCCGATATATTTTATTGTAATATTACATTGGAAATGTAATATTACTGTGATTTACTATTAATAATATTACGTGCTATGCGGGCGTCTTGTATTCTATTTCATATCAACTGGAACAGAAAAATTTGATTAGACGCGTGGATTAGATACGAACCACTCTCTTTGGAGTGTCAGATTTGTACATTCATCGATCGTTACCGGACACTAAATCGCAAATAATGTATTCAGCAGACCTCCCCTCCCCCTTATGAAAGGAATCGCCGTGATTCTAATCGCGCTCGTTACCTTGATTTACGAAAGGATTTCTGCGACCTTTTCTTTCACGGGTTAAGTGTACGAAGACGTTTTTTTCCTTTCTCTCCCCTTTTCTCTCTGCTCGCTCCGTAAATGTTGCCCGCATCGTGATTGGGAATTTCGGAAGCAATTTATCAAAAATTCAATAAAACAGGCCAATCCCTAACCGAATATCGCACAAACATTAATTTAAACCGTGAGAAGGAGAGAGAGAAGGAGAGAGGGAGAGAGGAGGGAAATTGAGACGATTTTATTATATTTGACTTACGTTGCCAGACTCGTTGCTTATGGAATTATTAAAACTTATTTTGAATTGGACGGATGATGAGCAATCTCAAATTTCTTCTTTAGAGATGCTTGCGATATTTTCCCTTCATTTTCTCTCTTTTCATATCTCTCTCTTTCTCTCTCTCATTTTGTTTAACTAAATAAATAGATTTACTTAATATTTTTTTTACTAAAGTAAATATTTAATTTATTTAAACGAAAATATCAAATTTCAAGTAAATCTGTGCATTATATTAAGTAAATTAGAGTGGCGATCGTGGCGCAGAGGATTGTGCGCTGGTCTGGTAATCCGAAGACCCGGGTTCAAAACCAAACAAAAACATTGTTGGTTTTTCGTTCGATCGCCACATAGCGAAGTGGATATAAAGAGAGGTGTTATAAGAGGTTTGGGCACGTTCCTTCAAAAACGCCTTGTAACCCTAAGGGGAATCAATAAAAAAAAAATATATATAGTATCCTAAGGTACATAAATCATTCTGCTTCCTTACCTGCGGCATATAAAAAATGGATGGGCATCCATTATTGTATTGTATATTTGTAGAGATTGAATGATAATTAAGTGACAAATTCCAGTATAGCGATGGTGAACCAAAGTGTTAATAATTATAAGACTATCGAAGATAGGAATTTGTCACTAGATTCTTGGTCAATCTCTACAAATATTATACAATACAATAATGGATGCCCATCCATCTTTTTATGTTTGAAAATTATTTGCATAAGACAAACTTTTGCAAAATATGGGACATACAGTCTGTCAAGTAAGAGCGTGGTCGGGTTAATTTATAAAAAAATTGATTAAATATAAGTTTTAAATACATGCATGCATTGTACTCGATGAGAACAAGGATGCAATTATGTTAATAACGCGTCCAGTCACCACCGGCGTCGATAATTGCCTGGCATCTCCGAGGCATGCTTTCGACCAAATTGACGCGTATTCTAGCAGCAAGGACCTCCAAATCCGACAAATCTCGCTATAACTGCTTCAAAGTGTACGTATGTTTTCCACGAAGCTTCTGCTTAATGTATGCCCACACATTTTCAATGGGATAAAATCTCGATTGGTGTTCTCGTGCGCCCAAGCGAGTCGCTTTGTCACATGTCTTTCGATCAACAGAGGTTTCTTCATTGTATTGCGCCATTACATGTCATGAGCAAGGAGATGAGTTCGGATAGTTTCGTACGATATATCTAAACCTTTTGACTTTAATTTTGCTTGTCCTTGACGCAGTATTAAAGCAGGATTCCGCAAAAACAGATTCATTATTCTTTTTTCGTCTTTTTTGTTCAATTTGCCTATCGAGCCACGTCCCAGGAAATCATCGACACTTTTACCACTTTATATCGCTGTATCCACTTCCCTACGAATGCTTTCGACTTTCACAAGTATTTAGCAGCCGCTGATTGCGACATTTTCGGACCTTTCGAGTGGGTACAAAGGAACACAGCCTCGTAGCGCGACGCGTATTTGACACTCATGACATTTAACGTGTTTCTCTGTCAACAAATCAACGACAATTGAATCTTTCTTCACAGTGCATCAAAGACAAAGTATTCCTCTATCGGCTCACAAAAAAATTAAGGTGATACCTTTTACGAGCTCTGAATAAGGCCGACCACGCTTTAACTTGACAGACTGTATATGTGAAAGAAGGTTTATCGTAATAATCGAAAATAGCATCATATGGAGGGTATTAGTGGAAATAAAGGACTGAAATCGACACGATTCCGATGAGTTTAATTTTGAACGCTACGAATGCGGGTAAAATGTATATTTCGCCGATCCATGCCTCCAGTTTCATGAATAAACGGGCATCTCAACTCACCGAAATTACCGCAGGTTGTAATCTTTGATGGAAACATCGCTCGTGTTCGTAGCGTAAATTGTTCTGCTATCTGCTATATGTATGGCTATCTAATCTTAGAATCATATGTATTTAATATGTAGAATATGTTCAATGTAAACATGAAAATCACTTGCTGAATATCTTGCGATAACATATCATGAGCGATTACAATATTTCGCTGGTCCATGTTCCCAGTTTCGTGAATAAACACGCGTTTGGACTCACTGAAATTACCGCGGGTTGTAAATCTTTGATGGAAACATCGCTCATGTTCGTGCAAATTGTTCTACTGTGTATATGTGGCTATTTAATCTTAGAATTACATGTATTTAATATGTAGAATATATCAAGTTCAATGTAAATAGGAGAATCCGAGACTCGCTGGATATCTTGCAATAATATATCATCAGCGATTATTTTACACCATAAGGATACTGTTCTTGTTAAAGTTTCTTAATTTTAACACAGATTTTATCGAATTACTTCTTCAAATAACGCTCAGCCGGAAGCAATTAGCAAGTTAATGGATAACAAAGAGTTCAATTGGATCGGTTAATTAATCCTGGTAAAAGCCCGTCTGAAACTCTTACATCCCAAATCCACTTTAATTCACATCCAAAACATCTCTAATCACTTGTCCAATCATTTTCTCGCCGACCGACATGTGGGCACTTACTTGGTACTTACGGTAACTTCCATTTTGCTTATCTTGAACATTTTTATCTCTCATATATATTTAATATCGGTCGCGACGAATGAAAATGACTTCCATATGGTTGCCACGCTTTAAATCTTTGCTCTACTCGCGCAATTCCAGTGTCGCTTTTTTTTTCGACGGACAGGAAATTGAATACTAAGTCCTAAGTGAAAAACAATATCGGCGAATATTGATGAAATAAATTCTGCCCGGCAATATTCCTCGAATGTATTATCAGGAATCAATTTCCCAAGCGAAATGTGTCTCGTCACTCATCAGAATTTCATCTTTTTCTTCTGTTTAGTCGGCTCTGAAAGCGTGAGTTGCTAAGCTAAGGAATGGAGAGAACGTGGCAGTGGGAGCAGCGAAAGCACTGCCATATCATTCTGCTCAACTCTTCGTCGTACCTAAGGGAGAACCCGGAACAGATTGCAGGTGAGCCAAATCTCTTCCTTCTAAATCAGCATATTTTTTGCCCGGCCCGATCGGAGGAAATAGATTCGTCTCGCTACGCCAATGAGAAAAGAGTCTTAAAACCGGTCATCTCTCTCGCCTGGCCGCTCAGAACGATTATACCTTTTCGTCGCGCATCTGAATTTCAAGTTAGAAAAGCGATTCCGAAGGAACGAACTCGGGGGAATGGAGGGGGGAAAAAAGTGTTCAATGGAATCGATTTCAATCTTCGCGGTTCATTCTTAAGTGACCCACATCTTTAAAAATAACGCGAAGCATTGCTGGAGCAGATTCCGTAAATTTCGTCCGTATCATTGGCTCGCTCTCGGCTGCCATGAAATCGATTCGGTGCTCCAATTACCGCACACATCTCGGTTTCTCATTCTTATTTTATCGGGAATTTATTGTCGATTTCTGACTTTTATTAATAAATCGCCGTACATCTGAACGATAACGTTTTTCACAACGACGCCTCTTTTTAGCTTTGATAGGACAAGGAGACGCGACAGTTTCAGATGAACGAAAACGACTGCACGATTGCTACGGCAAGGAAGCAGACATCCTGAAGACAAGGGACCGCGTGCCAAGTCTGTAGCGTTCGGTAAGGAAGAGAGGGGCCCCCGTCAAGTATCACCTCGGAAGGAGAAGAGAGAAGGGGGTCGTCATGGGCCCGGTAACCCAAATCGTATCTCACTGAGCGATGCAAGTAATTAGGGCCGGGGCCCTGCTAGTGAGCATGTGGCTCACTAGAGAATGAAGAAGCAAAACGTCCGGACTTTATCATTAATCGTCTTCACGCTTACCTATCTCCTCGTCGGTGCTGCAATCTTCGACGTGCTCGAGTCCGAGACGGAGAAATCGCGCAAAGAAGCGTTAGATGGTGAGTAATCGAGCCCGTGTGCTTTGCAAATACTCCGAGATAGGCGCTTTTCAATATTCCGAGAACGTCCTTTTTAAAACCGCTGGGTTCTCCCAATTTTTCATAACACCAACTCTCAGTCGCGTTTGGGAAAGTACACTGTAAACAAATATACGTGAAATTACGTACATAATAAGCGTATAGCGATTGCATTATTAATAACGGAAATATATAAATTTATGTACTTTCACAAAAACGTCTTTTTACTTTTTGTTGTGTAACTGTAATACTTGTTTATGCGTGATGAAAAATTACAAAAACTTGTAAAATTTACACAATTAAAAGCAAGCGGTTTACTTATTATATCATACAGGGTGTTATGTAATACCCGCCTTACCTCTTATTTACGGATAGAGCGGATCAGACTGAGTCGAAAAGTCCTTTACCATTTTGCAATTTTCGCAATAGTTAACGAGTTATTAATTATAAAAAAAATCACTATTTCAGCCCGGCCTACCTCCCAGTTCAAGCTCGCGGTGAGATGCGGCCATAGACATAGTAAATATAGACTGAGGCCGGTATTCATAGTCAATTCTTATTTCAAAATGGTGTAAGACAAAGAAAGTCTTCTTAAATCTTCCCCCCCTCTCTCTCTCTCTTCACAAGCTTCAGCTTATTCAATGGGAGGTTCAGGCCGGTATTCATAGTCCGATATACCCTTAATGTGTTTTTAACCAATCACAGAGCCGTATTGTCTTAAGAAGCT